GGTAACTGTTTTATCGGGTTATCTTCGTTGTATTTACTGACTAAATATTAAATCATCAAATAATAAATTCCAAAAAGTCTAGTATTGAAAAATATTTACGACGAACAGCCTAAGATAACCTTTGTCAATACCAGCAGGTTTTCCAAGACAAGTAATCGGTAAAAAAAAAAAGTTTCGTTGTGCGACGAAGGATTAATATGACGCAACATTCTTTACTTATTAGTTGTAAACAATATAGGCTCAATAGATGCCCAACATATTTATGGTTTTGTTGCTTCGGAGATCCTTTAATCGATGATAATATCCATTGTTTATGATAGGCCTCACAAATTTGTTCTGGATTAAGAGTGATGGTGTAAACCGGTCCAATGTCTTATGTTTAGATTTATAAAATTAAGAGAATGTCAAAGTTCATTTCTTTTGTTCATACATTTTATATTCAATTTATACAAAATACAGTATTTTTTGTAGTCCTTTAATTTTCACTGATTTATATCGGTCAAGCAAGCTTATAAGTTTGTATTTAGCTAAAAAGGCTTTTTTCTACTGTTATTTGTTTTATTCGACCGAATTTACAGTAAATATTTATGAAAATTTTGTGAAGGAAGAAAAATTATTAAATGTATTCATATATAATAAAAAAAAAATCGAAGTTTTCTTTATTTATGTTTCTTAACTAGAGTTTCATCAATAATTTTAGGGAATTCTAATATAACTAAAAGATGTGAAAAGTTTGGTTGTAACCGTTCTAAATAACTGTTTTTTTTTTTTTTTTTTTCTAATATAAAACGGAAAATGCGAAATTTTATTGTAGAACAAATTATTGGGTCATCAAACAAAAAATCCCGAATATTATTTGCTATTAAAATAACGTTATGGAGAATTTCAAACTTTTTTTTACTTTTAGCATTTAAAGTACGCTACATGCTGCTAATATTATAATTGCGAAAATTTATAATTTCGAGATCATACGTAGTTAACGCATTAGAATTTTGTCTTATGCGCTAATTGAGAACTGTTTATTAAAGAAAGGTTGTCTATAAATTTGTAATGTTGAATATTTACAATATAGACTGACATATCGTTCACTATGATTTATATTTTGTTAGTCGAATCAATAATTATCAAGACGAGGATGAATAATTTATATAGAAAATCTCGTTTTATATTATTGGCGCGCGCATTTGTTTATTTGTATTGATCTATTTGTGTTACAATTAATCTGTTCTTACCTATAAATACAGTATAAATATTATCCGAAATAAAATAAGGAATCTACACGAGACATCTTGATGGTTATAATATGGGTGGTTTAGTGGTCGTAAACCCAGTGGAATTCTCTTAAAACATGAATGATTGAACTTCATTCAAGTCATTTTTTTTTTCCGATAACCATCCAATCAAATTTTTCTTTATATTGTCAATTTTCTTTTTCACGTAATGTAAGAAAAAAAGATTCCAAGAGTATCTTAAACAAAATATATATATATATATAAAAAGACCTTTATAAATAAATTTAAAATGGATTCAGAGACTTTCCAAGACACGTAGTTCGGGTATTCTTTTTTTTTTAATTATTTTTAAATTTTCACTAGAAACAATTATAAAGACTACGTTTTCGCTTTGGCTGGCTGGTTGTTTTGACATGACCAAGGTTTCGACATCATGTTATATGTTCGTTATGAGATATGAACATGGTAATTTATATGAATATCTTGAACATTCAACCGGGCTTCTTTTCTGGAGAGATATAGTAGATATGTTATGGTTCATAACAGCTAGTCTTAATGTTGTTATTCATGAAACTTATCTCATTCATGGACAATTACATGGAAGAAATATATTAGTTAAAAACGAAGCAGATTCAATAGATACTAGAATTGCGGATTATGGTTTGCACGGTCCGGTTGATAAACCATCACAAAAAAATTATGGAGTAATACCTTTTGTTGTTCCGGAAATTTTTTTAATGGAAATACGCCAACAAAAGAATCTAAATTTACAGTTTAGGCATGATAAAGTGGATATTTCAGCCGGTGTATACCCTTATTATGATTTACAACTTGTTCAAGGAACCTGCTATGGATTAAGGTAAAAGTTTTATATTCTAAATTAAATTTTGAATGCTTAGATACCAATCCATCAATCAAATACTCTGAATTATCTAGTCGATTTGGCGCCATAGAAAAATTAAATTTGAAAATTTAGAAAATTCAGTTTCTTATCATGATATATCGATTCATGAAAAGGTAATTTATATTAATCGTCGTTAATTCCCTTTATCGGATTTTCTCAGCCTTTTAAACGTAAAAAATGTAAAAAAGGAGAAATTAACAATTTAATTTTTTACTAGCATTTTATTCTCTCGTTATTAGGAAAAAAGGGCACAGTTCAGTCAGATACGATGTTTATCACGCGCTTTTTTTTAAAATTTAATGACGTTCTTCGTTCATTTTCGAAACATAGAAATCATTTACACTTCATAAATCAAATTATGTAATAATTGTATTTACAGTGTTGTTAAATTATTATGCAAACTTCCTCACAAAACTTATAAATCCGTGATGTTAATAGTAAAACGACCATATTACTTATTAATATATTGATCTTATAACTTCATTGTAATAAACAAATACAATGAATTACTAAGAGGGTCTTTCTTTCATGAAGAAATTCCGAATGAAAAAAAAATAAATAAATAAAGCTCGTAGTATATACGTACAAATCCTTACAAGTATTTTATCACTCGTTGTATATACTGACTAAATATTAAATCATCAAATATTAAATCCAAAAAATCTGGTATCGAAATAATTTACGGAGAAGCTTAAGATAATTTTTTGTCAATGTCGGTTTTCCAAAAAAAGTAATCTCATTGATCGGTTAAAAAAAAAAAAAAAAAAAAAAAAAAAAAAAAGCTACATTGTGCGACGAAGGATTAATATGTCGCAGCTTATACGGAGGTAAAATATGGGATTTGGAAAAAGCATCGTTCAAATTTAAAATAACAAATATTTAATTAAGATGCCTTTCGTATTGAGATTTTCCAACGATTTTTATTATATTTGTCATTTATGTGTTTAATAGAACCTAAAAAACTTTATTATAATCCTATCCTTATCAAACATTCTTAATTTATCATATTTAAAAACATGAAATGAAAAATTATTAAAACATGTTTAATAGAATTATAAAATTAAAATTCTAAGATTTCACATACTTTTCGACTTGATAAACCTTTAGGTTTTACTAAATATTTTTTTACTTATATAAAATGCCATCCAACTTCTATACAAAATAATCGGCAATCCCGTGACTTTTTAAAAAAAATAAAAAGCACCTACTGTACATCCAGACAAAAATACTGATGCGGTATGCTACGGCATTTATACTGTGAAATACAGTATATTAAAGATTTTATAGGTTTAAATGTCTGAATTATGATTTCTGATCAAGCAATTTCTGGATTATTGAATGTTCAGAATTTATTATATTTTATTTTTAATATAACAAAAAGCCTTTTTGATATTAATAATAATAATGTGAAGTGTTTTATAAGAAATACCGCAGTCAATCGATCGATTCATAAATTCATGATTCGGAGTCCCAAACCTCTACTAACTACTACTCAATTTTGGCCGACATTATCGAGAGATTTATATGATTATTTTGGCTCATTCTCACGCAAGCTCTAATATGACCAAATTACTCACGTGTCAAGTTGTACTTTTTTAAAAAATTAAAATAAAAAATTAGGTATCTAAACTAGTTAGTGAATTTAAAAATTGGGCAGATAATTCATAACTCGATCACAGCATTCACGCGCTCTTAATATCGAAATTTTACAATGAAATAATAAGTACTGTTTACATTTAATATAGTTTTGCTCGAAGAGACAAAATCTTCGTCCATAAATTGCTTTTGCTAAATCTGTAGATCATGTAGGGTAACAGGTTGTTCTAATTAAATCTTTTATATATGCTGGGATTTGGAGTTCTTTGGAATAACATATCGTTCGCATTCCCTTCTTTTCGCATAATATATCTTAAACACTTCCTTTTCTCCTTTACTTTCGCCGTTTTAACTTCATTATTCAAAACGTTGTAACTTCGTATATTTTGAATTCCGATCGATCTTATTTTTTTTATATTTTGTATTTTGCGTAGTTTTAATTAATTAGCATTTAGCATTAAATTTAATAAATCGAAAGTGTAGATGAAGCAACACTGATTAATTGATTTTATTAAATAAATTTAGCGTCATAATTACTTCAATATTCTTTAATTAAATCCTTCCGGTTTACAAATAAATTGTTATCATAATAACAGTACTTTGCCAAGACTATTTTTTTCATAGCATTGGATAATTGGTTTTTAAATTTGTAAAAATTTATGTTTAATAATAACAAACCGGAAAGTGAATAAATAAATCATCAACAACTTTGAAATCAGTAAATAATTTAATAATGCACCATTAATAAAACAAATGAATGATTTCCGTGAGGAAGTGCTCGAGTCATTGTAAAATTTTGATGAATAGGATGATTCCGCGATTGGTTTCTAATAGTAGTAGAATCATCATTAATACTCGTCTTTTAAAAGATACTGTCATTAATTGTTTTAATTTATCTTGTCAATGTATTAATTGTCACGTATATTAATTAATGTGACAAACAGCTGTTTCAAAGTTTGTTACACAAAGATTGCATAGTTACTGTATTATAGTATGTAAATCATCATTAAACCCCTTTATTTAAAACACCACCACTGAAACAAATATCACGAGTCCAAATAACATTTGATTTTTTTTTTTTGCAAAATTGGAGGTATAATTGAAACAAAACAAAATGAATATTAACCTAACAAAAGTATTCGTGGTCATTTAATACTATAAAGAATTTTATTTTATTAAAGCATAACTGATAAGATACTGTATATACAGATGATGAATGAATATTTTCATAATATTAAATATTTACATGCATTTAAATGAGATATCTACTAACTTAACAAAATTTCAATTGTATCAATCTCTTGATTATTAGTAGATCTAGCAACCATTGGTGTCTGATTTACGTTACCAAGTGCTTCATTAAACGAATAATTAAGCGATGGCGGTCTTACATCTAAGATTCGATCATCTTTAAAATATGATTCGGATTTAAAAGTTAACTTTTCTGGACCTCCATAATAAAGGCATGGCAGAAATGCAGCCGGAGAATCATTCTTAACAAAGATCAGAAATAACATTATCCCACTTGTAATACGAAAATAGGGAAAAAAAGGAAATTAAATAAAAAAAAATAATTTTACGCCAAGTTAATATGGACAAAGGTGAGATTATCAATTTATTAAATAACTAAGTCAAATACATACCTCAATGGTTGAACATAATCTTCAATGACTATCTTGTTAATTTCGGGATGCTCCGATTTGATTACGTATTGAGATATGATCCTTGATAATAAAGAAATCCCGATAAAACTCGTGTACATGAGGCCGCACATGAATAAACGCAGTGCGTGACCATATCTTAATACCGTCCAACGATTTCTTTTTGTCGAGTAATGCCGCCAACGTTTCCATAATATTGCACTTGCAAAGCCTACATGCATTTTTTTTTATTTTTTTAAAAAAAAAAAATGAGATTAATAAATGTATGATAAATCAAAATGGTTTCAAAATATATATTTTCACTTACAAGTGAATACAAGTGCTATAAAGAATAAAGGTGAAATTATTACTAAATATGATATTTGATGAAATTTAGAATTTGGAGGCTTGCAAAGCAACGGTGTGGCACGTACGCCAAAATTTTCCTTCTCGTACCCGTCAGCAAATGAAAACACATTAAAACAAACTGCGAAACACCAAATTAGACTTGAAATGATCCAAAAATATTTCTTCTCTATTTTTATGTTTCTATTTTCAGCCGCATGCCAAATATATAATCCTAATATCACCGGAAATATGTATAGAGGATACAAAAATATTAAAGATATCATCTGTTGAATTATACAAATTTGCGTATCATATGCTTTATTCATTAAGTCATCCCCATAATTTATTATTGTTGGTGTAAGCCCAACCGTATATCCCCATGATGCTACAAATAATTGGAATTGAGTATATTTTGTAAAGTGATTAGGTGATACGTATAATTTTACGATAAGAAATGTTGATAATAATAAACTTAAGACATTTAATGATATATATATGATCGCAGAAGTCGAATATTTGTGCATTACGAGAAAAAATTTGATAAATCTGTTTGATAATTATATACACGTGTTAAAATGAACAAATCGTTCATCCAAAGAAAGATGTTCTTTTCGCCAAAGGATTAAAAACAAGAGAAAACGTATGACCTAATTTTCCAACAAGTATCAAATTAATATTAATAATCTTTGGTATTTATATTTTCTATACGTACGTATGATCTTTTTCCACCCTTCTTGCTTCAATAAGGAAATAAAAAAAAAAAATATATAATAAAAAATTCCTAAGAATTGAATTTATGGTAAGTCAAAATCGGAGTATGATTTTCCGACATTTGAAGGAATTACCCTTTTTTGGGGGTTTGTTGATAGTAAACAATTCGGGCCAATTTCGGATCGGATCGTCTGAGACTTTTAGAGCCGAGCCGAATAATTGATTGGCAAAAAAAAAAAGTAAAAAGTTGAACAGCATATATCGACCTGTTGAAGTTATACGAACGACGAACGACGAACGACAGAATGTTATTACCATATTCATACATATATCTAAGTTGTGATCTTTTAGTATGAACAAATCAGTTTATGTTGTTACATTTTGTATCACAATTTGAACCAACCAGACGAACACGCTAATACTAATTTGATTTTTTTTTATTTTGATCCCATTTTTATTATCATAAAATGCTTCGAAAAAAATTACATAACCATTAATAATGCGATATCCGAATAATTTAAGAAATTTTTGTCAAGGAATGAATCCTAAAACAAATTTGTGCAAATGTTGGCAGTGCAGTAAGAAAAAAAGACAAGACTTTATAGTTAATTATAGTAAACAAATAAACAATTCCCACGATATGACAAATTACTTTTTTTGAGTTACATATATAGTTATTACATGAATGACGATCTCTGTAATCAATCACATGATGTTATGAAATTTATTTAATATTTAATTACGACGAATAAATTAAGCTATTCATATATTTTTTTTTTTTAGATTTTACATAAAATCGCGTCTTTGTCCTTGTTTCATTTATATTGAAAATAAAATATTATTTTTTGTCTGTCCATTAATTGTGCGAATTAAATAATGGCCCTAAATTCAAGAACATCACTTTATGAGATATTTCAATTTAGCATGAAATTCCGATATGTTGAACGACACTAAAAAAATTTATACAATGCTCAGCGATTCTCTTAACAAGAGTATCTCTCCAAGCAGCTACTTTATTTATTTGATTTTCAATACTTTTTGAATTTTATTGAAATTTTCTATTTTAGGTTCATTATTAAAATTTTAAATGAAATTTTTTATCATTCTTAAACAAATTAGGAAGAATTATAAAGTCATCACCTTTCAGAGATAATTTACTACAACGTAAAGAAGAATTAATTGCCACATGTTCTTAATATATTAAAATTCAACTTTTCATATGTTACACGTGTTTAGCTTCATATAGCTTATAAAATAAAACAAAGAATCTGATCATGTTTGTAGATTTTAAATTATTAATTTACCTGAAACAACATGTGGAAGGACAAAATAATAAAATTATCAATAAAAAAGGCAAATATTTTTTCCTTTGATTTTATATAAAATATAAAAGTCGATGATGTTTAACTCAAAAAAAATTTGCCATCTTCGTCTACGAAAATTTATTTCTGGATTATACGGTAAATTTTGATTAGATGAATTTCTTTTTTGATCATCTGATTATTTTTTTGTTGGTTTCACCGGCACGACGATCGCAATCGGATGACGTCAGTTCCGGACCATTAATATCGCGAGAAAAATGTTCGGCGATGATATAGAATTTTGAAAAACTGTAATAATGTTGTAATATTTATTTTATTAATTAGATGGCATTTCAACATAATGAATCTGATCTTATGAATTCGGTTTTATCATCATCAGATGAGGTAAAAAATAATTTTATTCCTGATTTTGGAACATGTATAGAATGCGGTGAAGAACGAATTAATGAAGGATGGTGTAAGAATTGTGAAATTAATGCTTTTAAAGTTAACTTCAAAAATTGGACAAGTGGCAATCCTAACATTGATAACTTTATTAAGCATACTCAATTAAATGCAACTGGGAACGTGGATTATTTGGAATATATCGAATTTGAACAATTTGATCTTATAGAGAATACGAATAAAGTAGGGTCATTTAGCACACTTTATTCAGCAATTTGGATGGAAGGTCCACGCTGGAATTGGGATGAAGACGCTGAGCAATTTTCACGTGTCGGACCTGTAAAAGTTGCACTTAAAAGACTCAATAATTCACGAGATATGAGTGAAGAATATTTAAAAAAAGTTAGTTCATAATATTTTTTAAAAAAAAAAATTTAATTTAATTTTTTTCGTTAGATTTTAAGTTTCGTTAATAATTTTCGTTAATCTTTTATGTAAAGATATATAAATATCACTCGTGTTTACAAAGCGAAGGTGTGGCAGATTTTTTTGGTGTCACTAAAGATCCTACTTCAAATTATATGATTGTCATGAGATATTATGAAAATGGTGATTTATATTCATATATTGAAGAAACTCAAGGCATGCTTTGTTGGAGAGATATCGTCAATATGATTTGGGAAATATCTGGAGGAATTGAATTTCTTCATAATAATGGATTTATTCATGGAAATCTTCATGGAGGTAATCTGTTAATTGAAAATGAACCAGATACCATAAATACATATATTACTGATTTAGGATTAATTGGACCAGCTAATAAAAGAAATTCAACAGAAATCTATGGAGTACTTCCTTATATAGACCCTGAAATCTTAAAGGGAAATCCACCAACAAAAAGTTCAGATGTTTACAGCTTCGGGATTATCATGTGGACCCTTTCTGCGGGTATTCGTCCGTTATGTAATAGAGCCCATGATCTTAGATTAGCCATTGAAATTTGCCTTGGTCTTCGTCCCGAAATTATTGATGGTGCTCCAAATGTTTACATTCAATTGATGAAACGATGTTGGCATCCTGATCCCTCAAAACGTCCAACTGCGTCTCAAATATGTGATTTGTTAGGAACTTGGGTATCTGCTATTTGTGACGACCCTGACCCTTCGGATTTATCCGATCAATTTGATCTTGCCGAGGAAAAAAAATTTTACGATATGGAAACGAATGAATATACTCAACAACAAATCCATTACCAAGCTTTTTATACGAGTAGGCTCATTTGTTTCCCCGAATTAATTGATTTTACCAAAACCTTTTGTAAAAAAAAGTCTGATGTAGTAAAATATAATTTGGCTATTATTAATAACACTGACGAACATAGTAAATCATATGATCCGTAACGTGATTTTAATAGATTACCTCCAATATGTTAAATTTTTTTTAATGAAATATATGATTAGCACGTGCTTTTTTAATAAGAACCATCTTCCCTTGCGTACCGTCAGAAGACACGTATTAATATAAATAATCTATCAAATACTATGTCGCGTCGCAGATGTTTATTTAAATTTATGCGCCACATGCGCCACATTAAGCATATATTTTAAGAATTTATAAATACAATGTTATGATAATGTTTGCGTGTTAATATTATTTTAAAAATAATTAATAATTATAATCAGGTAAATGGAAAAGTATATTGTTAAAAAAAAAATTTAGTGTCTAATCCTTATACTAAAAGGATTTGAATTAATTAATAAATGATAATTAGATAAAAGGGGAAGATACATATTAAAGTATTAAGATAATTAATAATAATAATTACATTATTAAAAAAATTTAAGCAGTCATGTATGCATAATCTTAGTTTTTCGGGGTTAGCCTTTTATGGAATATTCTATGTTCCAACGAATATGATTAAGTCGATTCACACAATGTATGATTATATTTGCTATTTAAGTTTCTAATTAAAGTATATAAATGCATGAGAAAACATTTTTGTTTATTTATAATGTATTAGAAATATAAGAAATAAAAAAGAAAAGAGCACAAATGATCGTAAAGGATATATTACATACGTGTTAGCAAAAGCTTATTACGTGGGATTAAGTGAATTGTTTGAAATCGTGCTAACATCCTTATTTATGAAAATTTGGATTTCTTTGTTGTCCAGAACCTTTTTCTTTAAATTCTTAAAGCAATTCGACTGGAATTCAAATTTTAATCATTCCTAAACTTTGTACTTCCAAGGATGCCTGTCAAGATATTTCTGCTTCGTCTGTTGAAACATTAATTGTCATATTTACGAAACTATGAGAGACGAATTGGAATTTTAGTATAGAACTGTTTAAATCATATGATCAGGGTTAGGTTAGGTTAATATACGCTGATTAAAAAATGTGTTTATTAAAGAAATAGACCGAATAAACGAGATTTTTGCATTATATTATTGTGATATATGTATGAACTTTATTTGGTTAAAATTTTAAATTCTTAATTTTTTGTGTAACATGGAAAAAAAATGTTCCATTTATAACCAATAATAAATTGTAACCGAGATTTTTTGCTATTTAAATTCACAGGTACATATGATTGATGCAATTTCCACATAAAATTTCTATAAAAACCTTTAATATATTAATTAATATGCATAACGAATTGCAATATTCCACATCTCATCAAAATTTACTAATCCTCGGAATTCGATTTTAATAGCAACAATCCCAAATAAAATAAGGTGTTTTAAAGTAATGCATGTAAAAATTAGCATTTATCGCATCAAAATTTAAGAACGAGCGAATGCAACTTCTTATTTTAATTAAAATAAACATAATGGTATCGTACAGTCATGTAAATAAATAATAAAATTTAAAGAGTTAAATGTCATACAACTATATATATATATATGCTTATTTGTAAAGGAATTGTAAAATAGTCAGGATCATTTGTCTTTTAAATTATACAACGTTCGAATTTGCATCATGAAACAAATTAATTCTGTGTACATTAATAACTTTTATGGATATAATCACGGATTAATTTCTATAGAGAAAATTTTCTGAAAGATTACGAAATTAAAATTTGAATGTTAAATTATTTATGCGCGA